AAAAGTAACGCTGAACAGGAATGGGCTGAGAAAGGTTCTGAGAAAGGCCAGCGTGGAGTCGACATGGGCTGAGCAAGTTCTCCAGCCTTCCTTGGAAGAGAATCTCCAGTGACAGCAGCAGCGCCCAGACTGTGGCTGGGCCAGGAAGCAGGCGACCAGCAAGGCCCACGGGCTGTGTGACCACATCCCGGGGAAAGTCCACGGTTCCCACACACTGTGCTCCTCTCAGCACTTTACCGGAGAACCAACAACAAAAGAGAATTTTTATATTTAAATACAGGATCCCAATATAGAAAACAGATATGAGTGAAGATGTTTTATTAATGGAGGGCACCGGGAAAATCCCTCTCTGGCCCAACTCACAGCCCCAGAGGCACTTCTACTTTATTTGATCTTTCTTTAAGAGCTTTTCAGAATTTTTATTTTTTACAGGCTTTATCTATTGAAGCATCTCTGGTCCTTGATGTCATCTCATAGCTCATCACCCCAGCAAACAAAACAGAAAACTGGAAGCCTTGATGCCGACCACTTTCAGTTACATGCTCTCACGTTCCCCTCCGCAGTTCCCTGTCTCCCCCGAGACGCAACCTCTCTCATGCATCTGGTGTGCGTTTCCCAGTTTAAATAGTCCTATGATGCGTGTATGTCCATGAGCAATGCGTAGCATTGCTCTGAGTGACTTTTTTTCATTGACATTCAACTACCATGCGGTCCGTGGCCTTCTACAATCCATCGCTCCTTGTTTTTGAGATGTGCCCAATTTACACATGCTCACAGATGTGCCATGCTGTATAGCATGCCACCACATGACTCTTCCATAAACTATTCCCAAAATGCTGTCATAAGCAACACCGCTCTGAGCATTCTTGGACACGTCTCCTTGAGTTCGTATGGGAGTCCATTCAAGTTATAGCTGGAATTGCTGAGTTGTCATACACACACATTTCAACTTAACTAGTTATTGCCAGCCTCACATCCCAGGATAACCAGTATCAGTAGTTCAATATACTAGTATCTGCTTGGAACATTATACACCTGTGCACACGCACACGTATACGTGACTCCGCAGAATGTAAATGCAGATAAATCTATCCCATGCCTGGGGGTCAGTTGCAGAGGACTGTTTTCTGCATTAATTGACCAGTGCCTAGTTGGGTTGGACATTCAGGTTTTTCCCTCTTTACAGTATTGCAGAAAACTTTGTGTGTAAATACTCGAGCACTAGTTCTAGTACACGTGCAAGCAGACTGGGTCTGCGGGGTCCACCTCTCACTGTACAAAGGAGAAAAGGTTGAGTCCCAGGGAGTGGAGATAAAGAGCTCAGCCCTGGGCCCTCCCGCCAGTGAAAACCCATGGGGCTGGGTTTCCTGTCATCCAGTCTCCAGTTCTCTAAGGGGCACTTGCTCTGCTTAAGTGAATAAAACATCAATGCACAGTATTCCTTTTACACACCATCTCCATTCGCACTGTAGAATTTGGGATTATAAAGAGGCACTCTGGGTTTCACAAACACCATGTAAAGTCTCACTGTTTCTGCATGGAAAGGTCAGGCAGCCAAATCCTGCCCCAGACCCTTCAACCCCAGACAGACACAGGAGTTGGCCTCTGGCTCCCGTCCTTGATCCAGGCAACTCACGCTCACAGAGGCCAAACGCGTGCCTGCCGCTCCACACTGGGCAGAGGTGGGCACAGATGGGCTCCCGGGACCCCGCCCTGAGACCAGGGAAGGAGACTAATGACCACACAGTGCAGCCACTGGGGCAAACCTCAAGAGACAGAGGTGGGCTCTGCGCCTCCAATCTCAGAAAAGTGACGAGGAGAAAAAAAGCGGGTCCCATACCTTGTTCTCTCCAGCAAACTTATTCACCTGCCTGCACTACAGGTCAGACATTCAAACCCAACCTGATGTGCTGGAGTGCTCTGATCATGCTCATACAACATGATGTCTGACCTTTGACATAGATGAGTTTGAATCTTGACCAGGCCTCTCATTATCTGTGTGGCCTTAGGCAAGTGATTCAAATTCCTCATCTAAAAAAGTATATGTGTGTATGCATGTATATATGTGCGTGTGTGTGTGTGTGCATGTATGTATAAAATTGGTACCCACTTCTTTGTAGGGTTTTGTGAAAGTAAATGAGTGAGTGCATGTTGGAGCTCCAAAAAAGCCCTTACCCATGATATACATTTAGTAAATATTCAGGTACTGGCTTAGTGCTAGGGCATGAAATAAAGACAAGGTCCTTGGCCTTAAGAAACTGGTAGATTTATCAAAATGTCAAATAGAAACAAGCGTGGCCGCCAGTCAGAGGGAGTGGCAGGTACAATAGGTGCCAAACTCCAGGACATACAAGGGACACTGGAGAACTGGGGGAGGCCCCTCACCCCACGGTGCTCTTTGAAGGGCTGAGACACACACGGTCAGAGGACAATCCTGAACAAGGTCACACACGCCCTTGGGTTCAGGCTGGGTCCCAAGTCTTCAACAAACACATACTTACTTTAGGAATCACAGAAAGGTACAAATTCTTGTTAGCCAAACTAGGTCCCTAGCGGCTCTCAGGCAGGTAAGCCTCAAGGACGCAGGCGTGATGGAAATACTGAAGGCGCGTGGCGTGTGAACAAGCCCTGCCCCAGCCCCCACCCCCAGGACTTCTCTGCAGATGCCTCACTAGTGACTGGCTCCTTGGGGCTCTCTCTCCTCCCTCAGGTTCTGGGGCTTCCTGGTTCTTCAGCTGCCCTGGCTCTTGGGCTCCTTCTCCCACCCTCTAGAAGTGGGTGGCTGTCCGACACCCTTCAGCCTTCATGGCCCCACAGCTCCCTCGTCTCCAAAATGCAGGGTGATTGGGAAGGTTAAATGAAACCAGCCGTGTGACACAACTGGCTCCTTTCCCCTCCCTTCCCTCTATCTCTCTCTTAAGATTTTATTTATTTATTTTTTAGAGAGAGGGGGAAAGATGGAGAAAGGGAGAGAAACATCAATGTGTGGTTGTCTCTCAAGCACACCCTACTGAGGACCCGGCCTGCAACCCAAGTGTGTGCCCAGACTGGGACCTGACCCGGTGACACTTTGGTTCACAGGCTGGGACTCAATCCACTGGGCCACACCAGCCAGGTAGACTGTTTCCTTCTCTGAGGATATTGCCACCCCCAGGCAGGCAGCTGGGCTTAACATCCCGGAATCACCATAGAATTCTCTCTCAGCCCTGCCGACCACACACCACCTGGGCCACTGTCCTGTGCTCGTCCACCAGCTGTATCATGCCTCTCCTACTCTGCATATACTGCTGATGATGCCTGTTACACCGAGACAGCTCTCCTCATGACACAGCCACCGACCTGCAGTAACCGCGGAACGCTGTGGATGGCTCGGTGAAACATGAGAAAAACATACACATGGACAAATGAGTCCTGTGGAGAAATAGGGACGGAACAGCCACTCTCTCTAGTGGGGAGCGCCTCAGCACCCTCCCTAGGGGAGAACGTCTCGTTCTCCCACCCAAGCAGGCTTTTATTGGGTTTGTTTGCATAAGAATTCAGGTAAAGCTCATTAAACATTGCCAGGAAGTAAGGGTCAAACAATAAATAATAATGAACTCGGAGGGCCAATTTTGAGTCAGGGTCAGATCTCTAAAGAGCTATAAAACTTTGAGAAACAAACTTACTTCTTGCTTGGACCCTTATCAGGTAATTGAGAGCATTCTAAACAAAGCAGGTTTCACAGGATTTTACATATTCTTTCTTAGACCTTATCACCCGGGGAACCCGATCTTTCCAGCACAGGGCAGCACCACTCTCTGTCATTGTTTCAGACTTAGGTGGAGCAAGGGAAGTAAGGCAGCCAAGAGATTAGGAGATTTCTCGCAGACAATGAGGGGTCAGGCTTGTCAAAGCCGAGGGGCGGGGATCCATCACCCCCTTTTGCTGTAGCCCCCAAAGTCCTTCCTTGGGGGCCTCTCACGTGATCATGCCTGTCTTAGATCATTCCCCCCTTGGGGAATCTTACCCGTCATTGGCTAACTGACCAAGGACTGGGGGCCAGGCAGGGTGAAGTTAAAGGAGCAGAAGCAGTGCTCTTGCCAGGTTGATAAGCTTTTGTCTCTTTAGTGGCTTATGGTCCAAGGTCACTCCCTCAGCCTTAGCCTTGGCGGGGGTTACAGCTTCTGATAACAGGCAGGGCGGTTCCCAACATCCTCATACCCCTCAAAAGCTTTCGGTTATTCGCCAGTGGTTACTGAAGAAAGACTCAAAGTTTTAGGCAGTCATGCAAGGCCTTCTGTGATCTGGCCCCAGTCCACCCTCCAACTTCAGTCTCCACCATGCCCTTTGCTCCATTTTGATTCATCACTTGCCTGGTGGTACACCATGAAATAGGAATGCTGAATCCAAATAATGGGATTAAACAAAGCTTGAAGTTATCGCACAACTTCAGAGCCTTTAATATCTTAATATGCACTGTGATTCTTCGCATTCTCCCAAGTCTATTTGGACATTTAATACTCTTTTTTTTTTTTAATGAGTTCGAGAACAACCTAGGACGATCTGTACCGTACTGTTTCTCCAGTAAGACTATGGAATGTGCTGGTGAGGTGGGCCAGAGGCTGCCATGGCCTGTGGCCATGACCATCTGAGGCACATTTGTTGTTCGTCACCATCACTGAGAGCAATCTCAGCAGAACCGTAAAATCCCAAACTGAGCCAAGCAGCCTTCCTCAGCACAGGAACGGGAACCAGATACCTGACAGCAAGGCCCTGCTCAGCCTGACAAGGATACACTTCTACCTTGACTGCCAACGCAGCCTCTTTGCCAGTCTTCCCGTCTAACCTGCCCCATAGACTTCATTAAATTTAATTCATGCTTAAATTAGCCAGGCTGCAAACCAGAGAACCTTCACTGATATACAGTTCTTTAGGTCCCTGAGCAAAGCCACCCAAGTCTCCCACCAGCAGTGGAGCAGCCAGAGCCATCTCCTCCACCACACTGCCCCACGGTGCAGTACCTGTCCCGTCTGGAGTAGACCTCACAAAGGTGGGCAGCATCTTCACTGAGGCAGTGGGGTGGGTGGTAGCGCCCAGCCCTTTCTCCATCTCCTTGCGAAACCGCTTAGAAATCTCCAGAAGGGTCTCATCAGAAAGACGCATGTGATAGAGATACTGGTCAACCTGCAAAAAGGGGAAAACAAGAGTGGAGGCCTGTAAGTTAAATAAATTATGGTATGTGTCTATATCAGAGAACACCACTCCACCCTTCAAAAGAACAAAATCTGTTATATATAGGTTACATAAGACCATTTAACAAGAATCCATTTGACAAGACTTTGTCGTTTAAAAGAAATTAAGCTAAAAATTAAAATTAGAAAAATAGCCCTGGCTGGTGTAGCTAAGTGGATTGAGTGCCAGCCTTCAAAGGGTAGAGGGTTCAATTCCCAGTCAGGGCACATGCCTGGGTTGCGGGCCAGGTCTCCAGTAGGGGGCGCATGAGGAGAACACACATTGATGTTTCCCTCTCTTTCTCCCTCCCTTCCCTTCTCCAAAAATAAATAAATAAAGCACCTCTGAAAACTTTTGAAAAAGAGGCCTAATTTTAAGACACCCCTTGAACCAAAGTCCATTACTGACCCTCATCTCTTAATCCCTCACATACATCTCACAAGGCCAGTCATGTCAACCCTATTAACCCCTCAACCTACGCCAAGCAGCCGCGACCTCTTACCTGGGCTCACATAGTCCTCAATTCTACTTTTATCTCTTCTACCATTTTCCACCCCCAGCCAGACTCTGCTATTTCCCTGCTTAGAACCTTTCAGTGACTTTCCATTAGAACCAAACCCCTTGGAAATTCTTCCAAGGCCCTGTACTGTCTGGCCTCTCCCCACCTCCTAAACTCAATGTATACTTCTGCGCTTCTATGCAGACTTTACCTTTGGTTCAGTCCCCAACTCACCCAACGCGTCCTTCCACCCCACAGCCTGTTCACAAGGGCCTTACAGCTCCTTACCCCACTCTTCATCTGCCACTGACCACCTGTCATCTGACCTCTTACCAACCCTTCAAGCCTCTCTCCACAGAGGCCTCCCCTGGTCCTTCCCATAAAACAGTCAGTCCTCCTGCTATTCTGAGAACTCAGGCTTTTCCTTCCAAAAAACCATCCACATTTTGGCAATACACATTTATTAGTGTCCAAATATAAGCACCAAGGGTAAAAAGAGCCACGTCTATTTGCTCCCGGCATCCCTGGAGCCTAGCACAGTGCCCGACGCATAACAGAGACCTACACAAACAGTAATGCAACCTATCCTCTCCTCAGAGATGGGGGCAGCTTTCCATAGTTATGTCAGTGATCCTGTTCCCAAAATAAACTTACATCGACTTCTCCCAAACATGATACCAGGAGAAGGAGAAGTATCGGGAGTCCCTCTGAGGCAGTTTCCTCCTTGAAAGTATCCATCTGCCTTGGCCATAAATATTGCCAATTTTCTACTACTAAGAAAAGATCAGATAGCAATCCATCCGAAGAGGCACAGATTTCCCCGTTCTCAACAGCAGTGCCTGTGACAGGGCAGTGTCCATGACAGGGGAGGCTGCTGGTAATGGAGAGTGGGGGTTGAGAGAGTCAGGAGCCTCGGGACCAGGCCCCTGCTGTGCCCTCAAGGTGTGAAGGGACCAGGCCCCTGCTGTGCCCTCAAGGTGTGAAGACCGTGGTCCTCACAGCCCTGTCAGCACACTGAGGGCCCAAAAGGGGCCCTGCTACTCCCAGCTTCAGAACTCCGGGATTTCCAAAGGCAAAGCTCTGCTGATAACCATCGCCACGGTTGTTCCTGAGGGTAACGCAAGTCAGTGCCCACGTGTTCTTTGCCCTTACCGGATTCTGACAAAGAAGTGTACATTTTTATTAGCTTTCCCAGACAAATGTCCTCATTAATATAGCCTATTATATTTTCCAGTCTTTCAGTCAACTCTTATTATATTTTCTTTTAACCAAATGTGTGGCCTAGGATTTCCAAGAAAACAGCAGGAGGAGAATCCCAGTGTCTCCTGCTGTGTCTCCTTCCTCACATCTACTCTCTTCCTGGCTGTGTCCTAACTCTCTGTGGGTTTGGGGCGTGTCCTCTTCGGGCCTATTTCTGCCCCTATAGAATAATGAGATTGGCCCTTTTCAGATCATTTCAAATATCCTGATCAGTACACTCAATCTTTCATCACTCTTGTAAAACCCCAGAAAGTGAAAGATCAGAGTCTGGAGTGAAATGCGGAAAGCAGCTGTGAGCAGGATGGAGTCCGGTGGATCGGCCCAGCCCCCTCCACCACAGCCACATGGTCACCACACAACAAAGCTGGCCACACCATCCACCCACCAGGTGAGGAAGGGGGAGTGGAAGCAGAGAAGTGGTAAAGCCCTAGGCCACTGCTCCTCTGCCCCCACTCCCCGCCAGAGAGACCAGGCTTGCCATGTTGGGTTTCCAATTCACAGAAGTGACGATTTCCCAGAACTCTTTGTTGTCAGCGTTTATTAAAGAGCTTCCCCAGACTGAGCCCACCAGTCTGAAGCAGGAAGAATGAAACAGTCCATTCTGTTTTCTGATTTCAGGTTCCTGGCACCTTACTTGCCTAGAGCCCACCATCTGCCTCAGCCTCCCAGATGGTGGGACACCAAGCCCAGCCCAAGTTGGGTCACTGATGTGGGTTTTCTGCAACATAGGGGGAGCCAGAGTGCTCCCAAGGAGGCCTGGCCTCCCCCACAATGTTGTCTGAGGCTCCCCAAAAGGTCAACAAGTATAGCTTCAGACAAGGCCCCTCTCGGCTGATGCAGTGGGAGACAAATCTCCAGTGACCCCGGCCCAGGGCAACTTTAATCACGGCAGGGGCAGCCTGTTTCAGATCCGAGGACACCTGGGCTGGTCCAAGAAGGCTGCCTCGTGGCTTACGCATCTTGATGTGAATGTACAAAGTCCAGGACCACCAGGCCAGGCTACATCCAGGAATAGCCTGGGATGCCTTGTGGGCAATAGTAATACCAGCAAACCCTCTGTGGCACTGACCTTGTTCTCAAGTTTCACACCCATTAACTCATTTAAATTCTCACAGCAGCCCTGTGAGGCAAGCAGTGTTGTAACCACCTTCTACCAAGAGGGAAAGGAAACGTGCCCCAAAGTCACACAGATACCAAGGACCAAGCCAGGATTAGACTGGACAGCCTGGACCATCTGTGTTCCTGTCCGCTCTGCTAGATGTTCCTGTCCCCTCTTCTGCTGAACAACAGGGTCTATATAGGCCAGATGGCATGGTGGTACACTCAGGTTAGCCATGCCCATCAAAAGGCCATCTTCTCTTCCTGTCAACCCCCAATGCAGACCCGAAGGGCACACTGCGGCAGGCATGGCCCATGGAGCTGACGCGGCAAGGCGTAGGGAAGCAGGGGCAGCAGACATGTCTCTGGCCATCATCATGAGTTTGATACACAGCAAAGTTGAAGCTCCCACGTTACTACTTTTCCAAAGACAGGAGAGGGCTAGAGCCTCACTGCCACCCACTCCCCACTCGGCAGATGGCCCTGAGTGTTGCAAAGAAAGCAGGAAAATACCCACACGGGGCAGCAGAGCCTTCTTAGGAGGTTGTGCCATCACTTCTTGGAGTGTGAGGTCACGTACACGGAAGAGCAAAGGCGGAGTGGAGTGGCCCCAGTTCTGCAGTGGCCATTCTCAGTTTAACTTTGATATTTAAGCTGAGAGAGGCTTGTTGGAAACAATCCAGTTGACAATTCTCATTTTTAACCCTCAAAGATTCTAACAAGTTAAACAGTCGACCTTCACTCTGTCAGATGCCCTTTACCCAATAGATTACAATCATCTTTCAGTGTTCAATGGCAGATGAAAGTGATACTGATAGTTACAGCAGCGAACCTTCTGTCAACCATTTCTTACCTGTAAGACACCAACCTGTGGCTTTACTGACTTCACCCCCACTGTCCTTTCATAACGGGTCACTTGGTGGTGAGGGGTGGAGCTAGAAGGGAGGTGTGTCTGGCTCTAAAGCCAGGCCCTTGGGACCAGCACCCTTGCCTGGCCTTCCAGGTGGGCAGACCTTCCCCACCCTGTGGTTTCTTGGGTGGCCCCAGGGCCTCAGTTTCCTCTCCATCACATGGAACTAAGAGAGGATATGAAATGCAACTCTAGCACCTTGGCCGAAACTTTCTCTCTTACACAGCATAATAGTGTCTCCGCCTTGAGTTTATTAGTGCCATTCAGGAAGGGGTAGTTAATCACCTAATGTCACAAATTCCTAAACACACCACCGGGGCCCCCCACAGCCTTGGCCAGCCCTGCTGTGCTGGGTGAAGGGTGGCCAAGGGAGACAGAAGTCCAAAACGAGAAGCAGCCTCCATACAAAGAAAGTTTTCCTGGAATGGGAAGGAAGTGAATGCACTTTGCAGAATCCTGCCAATTTTACCCACCGTGCCACCAGAGAGAGGGAGGGAAGCCAGGCCCAGAGTCACGGGGGAAAGTCATTTAGGACATGGGACAGTAGGATCATGCCTAAAAATATTCATTCTTAGAAAAGAAAGACCCTTGGGGAAACACACTTAATTCCACTGAACACAGACAACATTCAAGTTTGTCTCTCTCACCGCAATAAGTCATCAGGCCTCAGTTCATTGAATGCTTCCAAGCATGACAGGCTCACTACTTCTCTAAGTTGATTAGCTCCTATTGTTGGTTAGTGCTAGTTGTTAGAAAGCTTTTCTTTAGTCTAAGGTAAAACTATTATTCTGGTAACTTCTGTCTAGTCCCCATTCTGCCCCTCCGGATAAGAGTTACTAACTTGGAGGCACATCAGAATGACATGAGGAATTTTTTTAAGAAAACATTAAGAATTCCAAAGATCCATCCAGACTAATCCAGCTGACACCTTAGGGCAGGGTGATCAAACACCTTCCCCTCTCCTTGGGCTGGTGTCTACCATGCCAACAATGTGATAATGGCGAAAATGTCTGATCAACATTCTTAAAGTCATTTTTACCACTTTCCTGCCTGGGGTCTCTGAAAGTCAATAGTGAAGATATTAGGCTGAGTGTAAAATAATCCTTGGTTGATCCTGGGTGTTGGGAATTGGAAAAACAAACCTTGTACTTAATTGGAAATTATCAAAGCAGAATCATTCAGGCC